GCAGTGGGGGCGAGGGATCCCTGTGGGCATGGGGAGTGCTGGACATGCGTAATGCAGAGGTCTCCCTACAGTGGAACCAGTCAACACATTTCTGCCTATCAGGTTATCAGGTATCTCATATGAGCCTGGAGTTTGTTCATTTAGACACAGAACAGTGATCCCCCTCATGCACAAAAATATGGAAAACAGTTGTATATGCAAGTCGACATGGAGGCTGCTCCTATCTGGGCTGAAGTTTGATAAAGCCTGGCTCTCCTTGCACCGGGAGCTATGCTAGTTACTAGTGAATGGCATCCAACTTTACAGATAATACATGTGTGCTTCTTTGAGTGAACTGAATGAGCTAACATAGAGAAGAGATAGGGCAGATATGATGCAAGAGAGCATGTCAATTGCCAAAAATCTTATTAAATTCAGATTAAGATGTGAAAAAGTAACAAAAAATAGCTTGTACATTTTTGCTTATTATGTTTAGATAAATGGTCTTCCAGTTGCAATTTTTCAAGTCGGGTTAGTTTGTATTTTTGTTGCTGTTTAATTGCCTGGATATTGACAATTGCAAGAAGTTCCAGGTTCGATTACCAGACAGAAAGAGGCATAGAGAAATATTTAGCTATAAGGCTCAGGCAGGGATTTAGCACCAAATTCTGGGCATTGGGTACAAATCATCTTGGTGAACCTGCACTACATGTTGTCTAATGAAAAATACACATTATAGACTTTGTGAGGACCCTTCCCTGCACTGGGCCCTGGGTAAACATCCTTTAATACCCTCAACCAATGTGTCACTAATAAGGTTTTTGTTCCAGCTTTATTATTAGGTAGTTAAAAAATCAACCAGTCAGAAAAAAAACGACTCCTTAAAACAAAATTAGTAGTGTAAGTAAGTACGTGTATGTATAGTGTATAGCTGTTTCATAAAACTGAACAATTCCACAGTTGTGTCCATGTACACCCCAGTCTCAAACATGAGTCTTCCCCACAGACTAATGAGGAGGAAGATGATCAAAGAGCTCAGTGTGATCCAGCCAATCAGAGCACAAGCACAGTCCATCACCAGCTCTTCTTCTAAAAACAACAGTCTGACTGATCAGGTGCAAAGAGACTCGGGCAGATAACTAGGTGCGGTAAATGTGAGCTAGTTGGCGTATTGTCCTGTTATACACATTTTGAAGGATTTTAATAAAAAAATAACATCACATACATATTGCATGCTTTTACCATGAAGTTATGCTGACACACCTTTCTCCATTTATCAGGGATTGACTACTTTTTGAATGCGTAGCTTCAACAGAGAGAGCAGAAACCTTTAGTGGATATTTTATATGTTTTGTTTAGATTTTACCAGACCAGGACAAGATCAGGACCAGAGCCACGGTGCTGGACAGACAGGAGTGGACTGAGTGAAGGATTTAGAGCCCAGACAAACATGTGGGTGGAACTCGGGACAGATGCAGTCCTCCTCTCCCATCTCTGTTTATCCACTCGGAGCCTTCATCAGGGTGACAGAGACCAGACGAAAACTCAGAGACCAGGACTGTCCTCTTGGCCCAAACACAGACGGCCCATATCTGTGCTAATATCTACAAAAAGAATATTACTTATGTAGTAGCTGCAACTGGCCACACATGAAGCTTATTGTCATCTCAAACTTAAAAGAATGGGAGATGAGTCGAGGAACTATTGTTTCTAACTTTCCTTTAATGATTTAACATAAGTTACTCATGTCATATTGCACAACAGCACAGTCTGCACTTTTTAGATATAAGTTTGTCATGTAATACACCCTGATTTTTTAAAAATCTATAATTGTAAGAACATGTTCAAGCTTGGTGTTACAGAATTACAGGATTTATGACTTAATAATAATACACTCTGCATTGATATTTTTACACAGGCAGTTTTAGGTTCATAAAATGTAATATGATATAATATGTAATGTAATATGATAGAACATTTGAGCCTTGGGTTTTCCAGAGTAACTCCCTCACACTAACATAGGGACAAGACTTCCAGGTCATTAACCTGCAAAGTGACATAAAATCTGTCTTATTTTGATGCAGTCTGCCCCCGGATGTCCCTGTCACCCAATATCAAAGCACTGAGCTGTTTTTGAAAAATAATATCATATGAACTACTCCCATAAAGATGTTCATAATTCTCTCTTATTGTCTGGCTTGTCTGTCTGAACTTCCTGGCTTCCTGTGTATCTTTGCACTTTGAGCAACCTCTCGTTCACTTGTGTTCCTCTAGGCTGTGTTCAGAGGTACTTGAACTGAGCTGAGACTTTACTGTGTTAAAAGTGCACAATGAGTCTGCTATGGTGAGGGGGAGTGTGGATGTGATAAGGGACAGACAACTGGAGCTTGGACAGAGACGAATGATGTTATTCTCACCCTAAAGCCCCATTTGGACATTTCAGATTACCCCCTTTTAATCTTACAAAAATGTGGCTTCCAAATTATTCTCTCTCAGTGTTTATATTATTTGGTACCCAACTTCTTTGTATAGGAATAAAAAAAAATAAAAAAATAAAAAATAAAACAACATCTTCTATAATATAGGAATAATAGGCAAGAGGCATAGAGGCATGTGACTGAATTTGGAAATTGGCAGTTTGTCTCCAGCTCTGATCACTGAATTTTGCCATTGTGTTGTTGAGCAAGACACTTCACCCATGAATATAGTGTATGAGGGGGTGGATAATGAATCCAATGTAAAGTAGATTGGAGTACATTCCATAAAAAATGAAAAAGTTTGTTTACAATTTGTGTGAAGCATAACAAAACTATATCACATGCCATTCCAGATAAAAATGTCACATAGTTGCAAGTGATTTTTAACTTTATTTCTCCAAACAGTTGCCATGTGAAACACTAATGATCCATGGCATCAGGTGTCCTCTTCGGTGGCCGTGTGAACAACATCTGGAACCCGTCCCTTAGTGGTGACATCACACAAACCAGCCTGACCTACGACCCTTAAGCGGCTAATTAGCAAAATGTCCCTCCATAACTGGTGGGGACCCTTGCTTTTGTCTTTCTCCATTCTCACTCCCCCCCTCTCCACCTGTTGTTTTTTGTCATGGTGGCACTGCAGAGTTTTGGAATTGACTTCTGTAGTCCCGCGTTAACTATTAGAAGCATATTTTCAATCCAAATTGTAGTAAAAGTAAATTCTACTTTGCACACTCCCTCCCTCGAGGACATTTGCCTAATCTTAAAGTCATACATCTCAATAGGCATCATTAATCTAGCAGAGTCTATTATTACTTTTCCGCTAAATCCTTTGATTCAGAGCCCACCCACGAAACGAGAAGAATCCCCCATGTCTCCCCTTGTCCCTCTGAGTATCTCCCAAACCATCCCTTTTCAAACAAGGGATTTTAGTTTAGTCATTTTTTTACTTCAAAGTACTGTGGTTTACAAATACAGTGCACCAATGACAATGTGTTTATCCATTTTACGGCATCGTGGCGTGGAGGAAAAAGCAGGACCATAGCCTGTTTAGAAGACACCGGAACTGCAAGGTCAGAGGTCAACCCTCCAGAGACACACCTCTTATCATTGCACAGACTTGAGCTGCATAGGCGCATATACATCCCACAGATATGCACAAGATCAGCCTTATACATTCTGAAGACAAAAATGTATACAGTATATTAACTGACTTATTTAACACGAGATGAAGGAAGTATAGTGATAATAGTATTCTACACAGAAACAAAATTCACTATAAATCTACATTATTGTTAGACATACAGTACCACAGATTATTGCACAGGCATGTTACAGGTGACCTTAAAGTCTCATTGGCTATTCGGTGTAACAGTTAGAGTCTCAAAACACAAAATGGGAATAAAAAATATGAATGAATAAAAATGCGCGTCGAATAACATTTTGGCTATATTGCAAAACCCACATGGAAGTTAATAGTGAAAAATGCCACTAATTGAAGAAGAGTTTTTGACTAAACACTCCAGATCAGAGTGTTCTGTTTCATTGTAAAGCCCTGTCTTAAGGCCTCCCTCTCTCCTGGTGTTGTTTGGACTTGGGGACCAGGCCGGAGCTGAGCATCAGTGTGGAATGAAGAGGAAGGCCAAACAGGGGATTTTGGGTGCTGCGTATCTATTTCATCAGAGGGGACAGAGGCGCCAGTTTGTGAGACCTGACCCCCCTGTGCTGCACTCAGCCCTGCTAACGGGCTGGATGTGCTGAAAGTTACATGGGCACTCAGAGTGGAGCTTTAATGATCTAGATTAATGAGGGAGAGAAATCACTGGTGTCACAATTCTCTCAAAAAGTAACATAGAATGCAACACCTCGAGGCTATTTGTGCTCATTGTGCACAACGTAAGGTGTTACATTGTGTGGGGTAAAGTTATAGTTATGGGGTTTTAAAGAACTGAAAAGCCTCTGCTCTACCCAATCAGGCAAACTGGCCTAATGAACAATTATCCAACTGCACAGAGACAGACAGAAGAACTTCCCTGTGAGGGGGACGCAGCAGGACTTCAAGGAGATATGAGCACAGTTGGACACAGTTGTATTGTTTTTGAACATTTTCGCTTGATGGGTGGGGTGTGGGAAAATTGTATTTTTTGTTTCATTTTTTGCCTTTTTTGTATAATGTTAAAGTAAAAAGTTAGGGTTATTTGTTGTAGCTGTATTGGATGATTTCATATTAAAACTTTGTAATTGTCTACTGTGTTTTGGTAAACTTTGTACAATATAGCCTTAAATTCAAACTTTATTCAAAATCATTTCACCCTTTGCCAGATGAGAGGGAGCCTGGACCACAAGTCTCCTCCCTGCAGAAACGCCCTCTCGTTTAAACATAAAACTACTCAACCGTGATGTGTTCACGGTACATGAAAGTTCACAGCCCAGTGGTCATCTCTATCTACTCCTGCCCCGCCAGCGCCTCTGCACTCATGTGTTAAGCCGCTCCGGGAGACCCGCTGCTCTCATGCGTTAACCCGCTCCGGGAGACCGTCCATCATGTCCACTGGCTCTCTCAGCGATGTCGACGACGAGCTCCTAGACGGCATCCTAAAGTTTGGCTCATCCGGTAAAGACTCCAACGAGAGCACCGAGGAGAGCTCGAACTGCGAGGGCGCATGCTCCGCCGAGGAGCAGAGAGGTACGCAGGGGAAGAGAAGGAAAACCTCATCAAGGAAATCTGCGACCAAAGGTGCCCCACAGGAGGGGAAGCAGGTGCAGAGGAACGCAGCTAACGCACGTGAGCGGGCGAGGATGCGCGTACTGTCTAAAGCCTTCTCCCGCCTCAAAACCTCCCTGCCCTGGGTCCCTCCTGACACTAAACTTTCCAAACTGGACACGCTGCGGCTGGCTTCCAGCTACATCGCTCACCTCCGACAGATACTGGCCAACGACAAGTATGAAAACGGATATATCCACCCTGTCAACTTGGTATTGATTCTTTTTTATATCACTTAAATTCTATATTTTTATATCACACCTTGTATTACAACTTTCACAACTCGATTTAGTTGCAGGTTTGTCTTAATAAAGCTGGAATAAAAGACTAAATATTAAACATAATCATCCATTGTAGCCTACATCCACACAGTTAGGACACGTAACATTTAGGCCTATGCACATTACGCACGAGTGTACAAATGTCACCATATGATACACATAGAGGTCTATATTGAAATGTTCATTCAAAATGAATCAAGAACTTTATGTTTCAGGTCTTTATTTTTTAAATTTGTGAGTAATTGCATTTTTGTTACTTGCGGTATTTTTTATTTTTTATTTTAATTAAAATGAAGGCTTCATATGAAGAGAATTATCCATGTAGATTTAGTATAAATTATTCAGTAAATTGTGTTCTTTTAATTAATTTCATTGTTATATTATTTTTAGCCGCCTAAAATACAATACTGTCACATTAGCTTTATTTTGCATTTGTCTGCTACTCAAACTGTAGGTTCAGTGTTACAGAATGTGTATTGAAAAAATATCACATAGTCTTCTTAATTTTAAAATGTACTTTACAGGTTGAATATCTGTACTAGTGACACCACATTATTTAACACATTTTCTCATCTCTCTCTCTTCAGACGTGGCCTTTCATGGTTGCTGGAAAACCAGACAGCGAACTGAAGGAGATCCTCAACACAACCAGACTGTGTGGAACCACTGCCTCCTGAAATGCAGATTTTTTTTACATGGACCATAAACACTGAAGCTGCCGGTTTAAGCAACATTACAATTGACATTTTTTCGAGTGGGAATAATGGAGTGAATGTTTCCTCTCCTTCGTTCCTGTATGACAAATTTTTATTTAAATGCATTTGCTTATCTTTGCTGGTACAAAGATAACGGTTGCTTTTTTAAATACGCTGTGTATTTTTACATCTGTCTGAATGTCCAAGTGCCTTTTGACTGAAATGTACATATATAAAACTATATTTGTATCTCATTTACATCTTGTATTTTGGATTGTTTATGTGTGGGCCATGGAGCTAACCTTTCCTATCTGTTCACCTCTTCACACTAACATAGCGCTGGCAGATAGCACTCACTCTGTTGTTTGGGAGAGATATCACTGGACATCTTTGTCATTACATAAACAAACTTATGGCTTCAGAGATTGTTTCAAAGGCTGAAAGGCTCAAGGCTAAACAATTGTAATGAATGTTTTTTTTTTTTTTTTTTTTTTTTTAAATAGATCTTGATGAAGGCTTTGTGAATATGTATAATTACACTAGCCAAATGTACTTAAGCAAGACTGTTGTTGCTTCAAAATAATAATAATATTCAAATAGAAGTTAGTATATTCTACAACTTATTTATAAATGGTTTTAAATGAATGCTGAAAAGCTGAACACAGCTATCCTATTCCTATTCCTTAGAATAAGGAACCAAATTCAAGATATAAACTTACTTACACTAACTTGAACTTTTAAAGAAAAAAATGTGCACATTTGTTTCACATACTTAATTTTTTTGAAACTTCATGTTCATCTTTTCTCAGCCAATCAGAGCGCTTCGAGGTCTTGGGAATAAAAGTAGGATCAAAGGCACAGTATTTGCAGTAGTAGTGGTACTGGTCCCGCCCAGTGCAGTTGTTTTAAATGGCTCGGGTTATGACCGCTGTGTTTACATCCAGCGGACAGTTATTTATGTGAAGCTACAGACACGTGGGCCTCTGCACCACCATCTCTATCTCCCTCTATAACCAAAACACAAGGATCAATGGAAGAGATGTTTTTCTGCTTTTGAAAACATATGTCACCTGCAATCTATAGATCAGTTTAGACTACATTATTTAGTGAGAATTTGACCCCTATAACAAACTGTCAGATATAATAACACAATATAATAAATGCGTAATAATGCTCCAAAGCCACACTTCCACACATGCACGGCAGGTTCACCGTAGATGTATAGGCCTACACCAAAATAGATCCATTTATTTCTTAAACATTTTCTTTAACTGTGTAATTATTACTAGGCAACAAAAAAAAAAAAAAAAAAGAAAACATTCAGAAAAAGAATAATATCTGTGGAAAAGAGATAGCCTTTCCGATCTAATCTAATCAAAACCTCATTTATGTGCACTTTTGCCATTTACATGAATACTTTACCAACAACTATTGGGAAAAGGAAAACATGTGTTTTGCAATACACTTTCTATGATTTAGTCTTCATTAAATGTTTTTCATTTAAATTTAAAGTTTGAAAAATTTTAAACGTAAATTGTGAAATGTAAATTAGATTAGCACAGGGTCATTGCTTTCAAGATCATGTCTTAGCCACTACTTCACAATTTGCCATCTCTGAGTGTTGTGGAGCGAGAAGTGGATCAGAGTGACACCTCTCTCACCTCATACATCAGCAGCAGTGTCAGGGCCTCCACAGCTCCACAGACCACCTGCAGGTCAGCTCTGCTCTGTGCGAGATACCCACGGAGAAGAGGAGGAAAACAGGGGGAGAAGAGAGGAAGAAGACAGGGAGAAGAGGGGGGAAGAGAGGGAGAAGAAAGGGTGCAGAGAGGGAGAAGAGGGGGAGAAGAGAGGGAAAGGAGAGGGAGAAAAAAGGAGGAGAGAGGGAGAAGACAGGGAAAAGAGTGGGGAGAAGAGAGAGAAGAAAAGGAGGAGAGAGGGAAAAGAGGAGGAGAAGACAGGGAAAAGAGGGGGAGAAGAGAGCGAAAAGAGGAGAAGACAGGGAGAAGTTAGTGAAAAAGGGGGGAGAAGAGAGCGAAAAGAGAGGGAGAAGAAAAGGAGTAGAGAATGAGAGGAGAGGAGAAGAGAGGGGCAAAGAGAGGGGAAGAGAGAGAAAAGAGGGAGAAGAGGGGGAGGACAGGGGGAGAAGAGAAAAGGAGTTAGAGAGAAGTCACATGTGAAAGAGGCTTGTTTCTATTTTTAATTTGTTATTAATACTTTACAGATGCCATTTCAGCCCAAGTATTTGATGAAAACATTATACCTAACCCACTATAACTAATGTTGTTAAGTACACTGTCCTGCAGTCAGTCCTACCCTCTTGTGCCCTCTTTTGTCCAACATGTGTACTACATGTATTTTACTTTTTCAGTAAAGTTCATTTGACTTATTTGAGTCTGCAGGTGGCAGTAGTGCACAGTTAATGAAAGAAGAGTTATGCAGCACAAAACAAAAAAGGAATATCTTCATCAATCAAAGTGCAATATAAATACAGTTTGATTTGTGTTATTTGTGTCAAAGCTAAATCACTTTGTGCAGTTTTATTGTACCATATTTTGTTTTGTATGGTTCCATCTTGTTTACACTCAAGTTTATTTTTGTTAGTTGTGTTGAAATGTGTCTCTGATGCCTACCAAGTTGCTTGTTTCTTGGAAAGTAACAGAATTACTTTTACAATTTTGGATTAATCTGCCCACTTTTCTAAGAGGGTAGACGTATTCTTTGCCAGATAGGTATTCATTTCTCAGTAGTTGACCTTCCTCTGTTACTTTGAGTGAAAGTTTATTCGTTGGACAACAAAGATGCTTTACCAAATTTGGTCATTAATACAACAATGGTACAACTTAAAATGTAAATAATGTAATAATAATAATAATAATTAGAGATTTGTCAGCAGACAGTAAGAATTTGATAGAAACGTTCCCAGCTTGTGTCCATGTGATAATGTTACAGTGTCATATGTTGAGAATTTTACAAGGAAGCATGTGGGAGCACAAAAGACAGTTGTCCTCTTCTCTGTGTGAATGTCTGGAATTTTCTGTGCATTTCCAGACATTGTGACTTGTAAACACTGTATTGTAATTGGCCGATTTTAAAGCTTAGCAAGTGCTGATAGCTGAACACAATTTGGGATCAAAGCATGGGTAAGGGTCACGAGAGGTCAGGCTGACACACATCCCGTTATACATGCACCATAAGAGCCGTGTTAGCTTAAGGAAGAGGCGCGGGGCTAAATGATGTTTTCCCAGGTGGACACAATTACCTGCGCGCTGAGTGTGAGTGTGTTTCTAATGCACATAAACTCATCGGGGCATTTGTGCATCTGTGTGTGTGCAGGAATTAGACATGTGTTGTTTTTAGCAGATTCTGGTCTATTACAATTAGGAAGACATGACTCAAAATGAGATTCCAGCACTTAAATAATGGGGAAGCATTTCTCAAGTTTTCTCCTGGGTATTAGCACTTCAAGAGAATGCTGTGCCACATGCACTCGCAGAATACTCAACCAGTCTCCTCACACAATCCATCAATCCATCCAGATAGTGAACATGTTTTCTTGACCTATCAACTATAGTGATGATCCATACTTTTGCTTCATCTCTCTGTCATGGTTTATGCTTCCATGTTGCTTCAAGTAGTAATCTTACTTGAAAAGTTACAGTAAATTTGCCTTTAATAATGTACGTTCCTAACAATATTCATGACTATGCATAAGTCATGTTGTGTCATGGTCAGAATTATTGTATTATTATTAATAACGCCAGTATCACAATACAGTTTTAATATTATAACAATTACAACAATATTTTAAAACATAATAAATGTATTATTGTGAATAAGTTCTACATTGAAAGAGCCTATATTGTTATTTTCTGATCTATGTTATAATGTTTCCAACAAAAACATTCGTCGAAAACACTCCACCTTGTGATGTCAAGTGATAATACAGGGAGTGCTCCACAATGTTTTTAAACTCCATACACCTAGAATCATTTGTATAATTTCAGACCTGGAATTGCCAATCTCAACTGAATAAAAGGTAAACTGTAGCTGTTAACCTGAAAACTACCACTTCATGACATCACAAGGTGCAACAAAGCATTTCAAGCTTTCGAGATGCAGACAGACTTATAATGCAGGATCACTCAAACATGTGAAAACACAACGGGTAAGTTTTTGAAGAGGTAACAACATTCTAACATGGCTAAATTATTGCAAGAGTCAATTTTGCATAATATAGGACATTTATATAATCATATTTTAAGCAAAAGCAACAATGATTTAGAAGATGTTTAAGCTGTTTTTCTTTCTATACAATCTGGTGGTACAATTTATCTGTTGTTTTATGAAATCACTATAAAGCCATTATTGTTTATTGTCCCATCCCTCTTCATGATGTGGTTCAGTATAGGTGAACACAATATTATGTAGTCAGTGTGTTTATAGAGTCTATGTGCATGGCCCCATAGCCAACCACACACCCCCACCTGCTCTACTGTTATCAAACGCACTGTGGCCTTCAGTCTGAACAAGCCAACACGTGTCTCCTCCTACACCCAAATCACTCACAGGTGACTTTGTTTATTTGATCTCAATTAGACCTCCACCTCTCTCTGCACGCACCACAAAAAAGAAAAACGCCATCTTCTAATAATTCTAAAAACAGAACTGGATTTATCAAAATTGCCGAAACCTTGGTGGCTGTAACAACGTGCCATTTTTGCCCGAATACCACGCACACATGGGTTCAATTATCATTGCATGGAATCCTGGAAAAGTTAAATTGGCAATAAGGAAAATATTCGTCTAATCTAGGGGTCTTCCTCAAGCTGGGTGCGAAGGAAATTTAGGGGGTCCCCAGTTTAATTAGCTCCAGATTTGACCACCCTTTGGAGCGAGCTTTGGGGTGAGTTACTGTGTTGGAAAAAGGTGTTATTTTGGTTGAATAAATGCACACGTTTTTGTAAGGGGGTTTTGCGTTATAGGAAGCAGATGGATATGGCTGAAGGAAAGAAAACATTGAGAGGAAGACGGACAGGCGTTAGATGTAGCGACATAAGAAGTTACAGATGTATTTAGCAAAACACAATCATCTTTTAGCTTCCCTTTAGCAAAATTATTGAAGGAGGAATTGTAAGTTTTGCAGATGCTGATATTAACACACAAGACTCAGACATGCTTTTTAGATTGATTTATCAGGTGGTTGTAGTGACACATTTGCAATGACAGCTCTGAGGAGGAGTTACAACTTAAGGGAGAGAAGATTTGGGAGGTGTGATTTAAATGTATGGCTTTATTATTTGATATTGTACAGACACTCAAGAATATGTCATATTCACTATAGGTCTCAATATCCA